ACTTTTAGAAAAAACACAATGAAATAATCAAACTACCTTAAATGGGCACCAGAAAAGGCATCAATAAGAGAGCTGATCAACTTATTTCTAGCAGATTTTTGTAAGCATCTCAATGAGCAAAACAGTCACAACAGAATGTGGCTAAGAGCAAAATCAGAAGATTTGGTGACAAAATCAAATTAGTTAAAATCAATGTCCCTCCTGCAGTGTCCCCTGCTTACCCCTAGTTACAATGATCTCAAGAATCTCCAGGTTGTCATACAGAGTTTTCAGATATGATGATGGGCAGCTCATTGTGGCCCCAGTTTTCTTTGTTCAACTTTTTGTTTGGCAGCCCTGCGTGAGACTTTAGATCATTTGAGATTTTTCAGGGAGCGACTTACCTGTGGAGATTAGGATGAGTACAGAGAGCGCCCCCATTTTGGCACAGTTGAGCATATTCAGCAGAGGTTCCTTTCTCTTTTCTGTGAAGAACACAATTTTCTCTTCGGAAATGTAAACCTCTTCTGCTTATTCATTCTTTTTTTGTTATGAATTGTTTTACAAGAGCAGATTACACACCATATACAAGCCGTTCTCTCTCCCCTCTTTTTTTTATTTGATAACTTATAGTTTCTGCACCAGTTATGAGTGGATAGACAACCACGGGTTGGGAGAGGAGGAAGGAAATGGTGCAAAGTTCGACTTGGGGAAAAAAGGCTGCTAGCAGCTTTATAGGTTTTTTTATGGCTTTATAGGTTTTTTATTCTTTTTTTGCTTATTAAAGTTTATAAATAGTTTTACAAGAGCAGAAAAAGGAGCCATATAGAAATCATTCTATCACTCCTTTTTTTTTATATATAGTTTCTAAAACAGTTTTGAGTACAGTAGATAGACAAGAAAATACACAGGTAGAGTGAGGGGAAGGAAAACGGGAAAGGTACAAAGTACTACGTGGAAAAGAAGCTACCAACATGGTTCTCTTTATGAGTTTCCAGTATTTAGGACATGACACCTGTGTAAGAAAGGCAAACAGTCCTTTATTATGGTACATTTATCTGTTCTAGGAATCATCGGGGAGTAGTGTAGGGTTCAGTCTTTTAAAAGGTGAGAAAAGAAATTCTCTGTCTGTTTGAATAGGAGCCAGCCAGCCCACACTTAATATTCATTGTATGGATCTTTATAAAATGAGAGCTTTCTTGCTTCAACCTGATCTACTATGACAAACCTTTTACATATATATATATATATATATATATATATATATATATATATATATATATATATAGTATATTTATTGAAATATATTGAAAAAAATTGTAGCATTTCAAATATATGTCAATATATTTGGGAAAAATATTTTTTAAATATATTTCAAATATATTTTTCTTCCATGTGGGTATCCTTTAAGCAGATGACACCTGGATGATATGGGCAAACAGTCCCTTGTTATGATGCATTTGTCTGTTCTAGGAATCATGGTAGAGTAGTGCGGGATTCAGTCTTTCAGAAGGCGGGGAAGAAATACCTCTATTTGTTTGAAGTGGAGCCAGCCAGCCCAGATTTTATATTATTCATCATATGTATTGTTGTAAAAATGAGGGAGTCCCCCAATCAGTCTAAGCTACCATAACAAACCTTTCCTTGTAAAGTGCTTGAGGTGATTGTAGCCGTATTAGTGCATTTGCGACAGAAACAATTGAGTACTGACGTGATCCTTTTTTTATTTGCACTAACATACAATTTTGAACACAAGCTTTTGGGGAATGTCCCCTTCTTCAAGGTCCAAACAGTACTATTACAAATCACAAAGTTTAAGCAGAATGTTAGAAGGGTTCTGAAAGGAAAATTCAAATCTATCCAGGAAAGAAAAACATTTGAACTAAGAATGATAATTCTATTTGACACAAAAGATAACGGCCTTAACTTGGACATGGGATTCCTCAACCATTATCCGACAGCTTTATGACTATCTATTAGCTGAAGCTTGACCCCCTCTGTGTGAGTGTAGTATTCCCCCCTTCCCCCCCTCGCTTTTGATGTATCTTATCTGTAGCCTTTTTTTTTCTCAATCCCTTCTAACATTCTGCTTAAACTTTGTGATTTGTAATAGTACTGTTTGGACTTTGAAGAAGGGGACATACCCCGAAAGCTTGTCCTCAAAATTGTATGTTAGTGCAAATAAAAAAAGTATCACGCACAGTACTCAATCGTTTCTGTCTTGTAAAGTGCGAATGCCAGGGAACTGTTTTGTTACACAAAATTGAGACATCTTGTGGAATCTTATGAAGGATCAAGATTTATTCAAAAACATTAAAGTCTTTGAGTCACTTTGCAAAAATAACCCAACAACCAAGGATGTATTGTCACTCATTTATTCATCTATTTAATATCTTCAGTACCACCCTGCTTCACTGTATTCACTGGGAACGTGTTCTTAATGATTCTCTTTCCACTACAAATTGGACTAAAATTTTGGCAAGTTATGTTTAAAAAAAAAATACTTTCTCGCTGGCATTTTAACCCAGCTAAATAGCCAAATGTGTCTTCATCTACCCAGCTTCTTGCTTTTGAGCAAGAGTTCTTAACCTGTGGTATATGGAACCCCTAAGTGGTCCATGGAGGAGTTTCAGTGGGTGCGTGAGGGTCAGATAAGAAAATAACATTTACATTCACTATACACCCCCCACCTTATCTACCCATGCCATTGAGAATGCAAGGGGGGCCCCATGGACCCCTGACCCTTTTCATTTTGAAAACACAGGGGCAATGCCCGGGGGGTCATGGGGGCCCCATGGGCCCCTGTCAGTAAGGGGGGCCCCATGAGATTGCCCCCCCATGGTACCGCCCCTGATTTTGGAAACTCCTGCACGATCGAAGCAGCTCAGGGTCACAGCGCAAACCCAGTGGTGACCTCAGGGAGCGTGACTCCACTGGAGACCTTCATTTTCAGGTAAGTCTTTCATGATGTGCGTATGCGATGTCTTAGCACATTATGCAGATAGCAGGGAGAAGTGTAGATTTTTGTTTTTGTGTTTTAAAGAAAACGGCTAGATGGCCACAGTTTGCGAACCCGGAAGCGGTGATGGAATCACCGTACAGCACTGGAGACCTTACGTAAGTCTTCCATAATGTGCTAGTCGATTAGCTTGCTCTTAGGGGGAGAAGATTTTGTAGATTTTGTTTTTCGTGGTTTAAAGAAAACGCACCCTGCTACTGCTTATTGAGCCAACCACTAAGCATCTCTTGACTCATTGTTGGCCTATGTTTACCATTTCAGTTTGTATCATCTCTCTGCACAATCATCAGTTTGTGCCACTCAATAATGGCAAGTGCTAATTCTCATGAACTTTGCTCAAACTTTGTATGTGTCATATATGTACGAGGCAATCAAATTTCAGTAAAATACATATATTCATTGCAGGAAAAGTTGTGTTTATGCGAATATTTCTGGATAGGGAGTCTAATATTTTCATCAGGTTCCTTAAGGGGCCCATGACTCAATAAAGGTAAAGACTGACTGCTTTAGAGGTGTAGCGAAGAGGGTGATATGCTCCATATATGGTGGACTTGCCCGAAGGTGCGTTGCCTATAAATAAGAGTCTATACTATGTTCAACATGGCCTTACTATTAACTTTTGTAAAGATCCGTGGAAAGCTCTTCTCTATAAACTGGCACAGGATGTCCCTTCCTGTGCCTGAATTCTAATTACACATATCTTTGTAGCTACCAGACAATCACTCATACATGGAAATCTCCATCCCTTAACTTTGAAGGGGTTAAACCAAGAATTTGCTTTTCTGCAGGATACCAATGACAAATTATAAATTTGGCTACCGTGGCTTGTTTGCTCCCCTCTTTCTCAACATACCCCATGCCTTCTGCAGCTCTGATGGAAAAGGTTGGTCTTTCTGTACTAACATCTCCTTATGGATTTCTGTAGGTGGCCTTCATGGTTCCTTTCTTACTCCCCCCCCCAATTTGTTTACTTTCTTCCACCTCTCCCATCCTCTGCCTCCTACTAAGTCTCATGACATTACTCAGTGGGTACTTGATTCACACCTTGTTTGGCCTTATAGGATGCTACCATGCAACATGTGATAGGAATATTGGAATGGGTATTGGGTACATAGTACCCCAACTTATTTAAAAACAAAAAGTGTTTTAGCCTGGAAATAATAACCCAAATTCTTGACAAGTACGTGAACTGGCCAGGTTGGTAAAGACACAGTGGCTGCCAGCAGCCACCACTTCCTTAAAAATCATTGACAGAATTGTCAAAATATAGCCATTTGGCCATATTTGGGCAGTGATGTCACTGCGGCTCCCGCCTATTTGTCTATGTGACAATGAATGGGCAAGGGACTTCAATTGTTGATAAGGATGCAGGGGCCGCAAGCAGTCACTGCTTCCTTAGCAACCATTGACAACCGGGAGCTGTCTCGTATGTTCACTGCAAATGCCCTTTTGTTCTGTGTTCAAACTTACGTTAGGACAACAATAATGTATCAATCTGTGCTGTGCTGACTGATACATTATTGTTCACAGATATATTTGTGGACTACAGAACACCTTATGCCAATGTTATGGTTATAAGTAAAGAGAAGTTGTTCTATAGTCCTAACACACTTATTGTCCTGGCATGATAACAATGCTTCTCTAAACTATAGGCACAGTATAGTGAGTGAGCATTGTTAACCTAGGCAGGATCACCAGATAAAAATTAAGCATGAAAATCCTGAAAAAAAGTAATTCATCCACCACATCTAAAGACTGGAAAACCAGGAACCAGGGAAGGCAGATTAAACTTCATTTATTTGTATTAGAAGCAAAAAATGAAATACAATAATCATTGATTAGAAGTTGTAATGACTTCAATCACCTAATCATGTGTGAGTAAAATTACTGTTTTCTTAAATTTTTCTTCCATACATTTGGGTATTCTTTGCAAAGTCAATAGTCTCCACTCCTTTAGTGAATCAACCCCATTTTCTAGGTCAGCTGAGATGGCAGTTTTCGATTATATTAATGTGAGCAGAAGAGTAGTTGGGACCAAGATCATCCAGCGATGGTGTGAAAGGCTGGATGTGATGGAGATTCCTTTAGATGTTGTTTTTGGTACCGGAACATTGGTCTTCGTATAGGCAGTACTTCCTATATTTGTTGGTACAGGAACATCAGTGTTTGTATAGACAGTGCTTCCTTCATTTGTTGGTTCAGGAACATTGGTCTTCGTATAGGCAGTGCTTCCTTCATTTGTTGATCCAGGAACATTGGTCTCCGTATAGGCAGTGCTTCCTTCATTTGTTGGTCCAGGACCATTGGTCTCCGTATAGGCAGTGCTTCCTTCATTTGTTGGTCCAGGAACATTGGTCTCCGTATAGGCAGTGCTTCCTTCAGTTGTTGGTCCAGGAACATCGGTCTTCGTATAGACAGTGCTTTGTTCATTTGTTGGTAGAGGAACATTGGTTATCGTGCAGGAGGTGCATTCTTCATTTGTTGGAATGGCAACATTGGTCTTTGCGTAGGAGGTGCTTTCTTCATTTGTTGGTACGGCAATATTAGTCTTCGTATAGGCAGTGCTTTCTTCATTTGTTTGTACAGGAACATTGGTCTCTGTGTAGGCAATACTTGCTCTATGTGTTGTGGAATCGGTGTACCCTGTGTCGATGAGGTTTCCTCCACAGGTTCTCGTTGGTATAGGGATATCTGGCACATCATTGAATGTAACTTGCAGGTAGCTGCTGATCCAGGTTTGGTAGGCCGTCACCAGTGTGTTCACCCCAGGGAAGTTGGGGTTTGCACAGCCTACTCCAAAACTCACAATTCCAACCTGATACCAAATGCCATGGACCTTACACACAAGAGGTCCTCCTCCGTCACCCTGTAAGACATTGAAAAAAGAAAAGGATTTATATTAACCTGTCATACCACCTATTCTTCTGATCTTCACCCTCTTCCATAGAAATAGTTTTTTTCATAGCTAGCATACTTACGGTTGTGTTGAATGCCTAGTTATCTGCCATGCTCTGTGGTTCTTTCCGCTGGCTGCTACATCACTACAGGACGCAGTAGTGATGGGTCAGTAGATTCAACCACAGCGCATGGTGGGGGACACAGATGGTGAATGTAAAGATTCCTCAGGTGGCTGTAGCTCTTGAGCAGAGCAAAGATCAGATGACTGGGAAAATGTTTTGAAGGTCTTGCTTTTTTATTCCTTTTTTCTTGGTGGTCAAAGGGATGAGGTGGGGAAGGGTGGGAATGCAGTGTGGGATGTGAATAGAAATTGAGATTTGAGAGTTTTTGTATGTCATATGAGCACACATACATATAATTTTGCAATTCATTGGCTACTTTAATGGTACTACACTGCTACATACTTTTCATTGCTCTCAGTTCCTACCTGCTGGAAGCATAGCCCCAACCCCCTTATCACTTTGCCTGTATGCCCTCATCCACCCCTGCTTTCACTAATGTGTGTTTATCCCCCTCTCTTACTCCAAATGCACCCCAACTCTCTCAACTCCAACCCCATCCTCCCTCCAGCTCTCGTCACCACTCCATACCATGCATTGCTTCACCTTCTGTGAAGAGATCCAGACCTAAAGGTGAGCCATGCTAGAGTGCTGTTGTCACCCACCTTACAGGAGTCCTTCTGCCCATCCTTGTAGCCAGAACAAATCTGATCATACTTGATTTTTTCAGTGCTTCCCGTATTGGAATACATTGTCTGACATGTATTGAGGTCTATGAGAGGAGTCATGACCTCCTGGAGGGCCCCATTGAAAGGTGGACTCCCTGGTGATGGAACATAGACAAGAAAATGATTACAGACATTCTTATCAAGGCTATGCATAGATAGATCACCTCTAAAGCTTATGCATAGGAAAACGTTTGATAATAACCAGCAAGGTTGCTGCACTGTATAACAGTATAACATCTATAAAACGTAACACTGAATTGCATTGTGTCATTTGGAATGTGATTGTCAGCTACAGGGATCATTTAAACATTTATTACTCTTATCGATTCCCCCTTGTCAGCCCCAAATTACCAGTTTTTAAAAATTAAAAATCTGGGACACCATACTGATCATTCCAACTTTTAACCACACCCCCCCATTTTAAACAACTTCCTAGACACTTGTTTATAAACCTTTGAAACAAGAGGCAGATATTTAAGGTATAAATACAAAATGCCTAAGATACCATAAATAGAGAACTGATGCGGGCTATATAACATTCCACAATGAATTATGGGTGTGGCCAAACTGCAGTATCAGTGGGAGGGACTTGTAAAAGTATGATAATAATCCAAAACCTACTCTGCTTTGGGTCAAGAATGGATAATACACTGAGTGAAATTTCAGGAGTGCATATTGCACAGTGTGTGTGTGTGTGTGTGTATGGGTATAGGGTCAAGAGTGCATAGTGCACAGAGTGCAGGGGTCATGAGCATGTGTGCATAGAGTGCAGGGGTCATGAGCATGTGTGCATAGAGTGCAGGGGTCATGAGCATGTGTGCATAGAGTGCAGGGTGTCATGAGTGCATGTGTGCATAGAGTGCAGGGGTCATGAGCATGTGTGCATAGAGTGCAGGGGTCATGAGCATGTGTGCATAGAGTGCAGGGGTAAGGAGCATGTATGCACACAGTGCAGGGGTCAGGAGTAAATGGCACACATATAGCAGAAGTTATGAGAAAGTGACACACAAAGTGTTGGATCAGGAGTAAGTGGTACAAAGAGTGTAGGGGTCAGAAGTAAGTAATACACAGTTCATGGGTCAGGAATGAACAGGAATGAATAATAATTGCCCCCCGGACTTCCCCGTTAGACCTTAATGCGATTCACTGCTAAGTATGGGTTTTTGTGAATTTCAAATGGGATTTGCCAGACCCCTTGCAAATCAAACTGGGGTCCATCCCTAATTGACTTGATGTATTGGGGTAAGTGACAGGTTTAGATTCTTAGTATGGAAAATAAGTGAAATCATTTCATGGACTCACCTCCATAAGATGTTGTACCCCAGCCGGTCACCCAGCACTCCATACCACAGGGGAAGGTGGTGGTGGAAGATGGCAGACAGATTGGCATGATGTACTGAGTATAGTTGACAGGTGTGTCCAGCTGCACCAGGGCAATGTCCCCGATATCTCCAGTGCCTTTATAATTAGGATTGGTGATGATAGTCTTTACATTGACAACAACTGTTTGAGAGCTAATCTCACCCAGCCTGTACATGCCCAAATGCACATTATAATTCGATGGCTGGAGAGGACTGCAGAAAGAAAACAGCAAAGAAAATGTATAAATGAGGAACTACAGTATCTGCTTCAATGCAATGCAGCATAAGCACCTTCAAAGAACTTCAGTTTTCTAATGACTGAGAAACAACTTATTCATAATTTGTTTTAATAAACGCTGCATGTAAATAAGCCCAATGTTATAAATAATAGGGGTCATTATAATTCATTCTGATGGTACTTCACAGTAATCTTTTTTCATTAAAGAAGTACAACCTAAAAGGTTCAATAGGAGAAGAGAACAGAGTGACAGAAAATGAGCCCATCAGTGTGCTGCTTCTCTTTCACTGTCCAATCACAGGGTGGGGATAGGTCCATGACAGCCTAGACTCAGAGGAGCGGGGTTGAATGATGCTGATTTATGGAAGACCAAATATGCCAAGTGATAGAAAGGAAGTTCTGTTTACAGACAGTTCTGGATTGAAGGTGAGTATTGCAGCAAAAAAATTGCCTTTTTGGTTTACACTTTAATGAGCTATTAATTTTTTTACTAGAGTTTGCTTTTTTTTTAAAAAAAAAGTGTAATTTTCATGTATTTATGCATTTACTCCTTTATTTTTTTTTTTTACAATTTATTTATTCATTTGTGTCTGTAGTTATTGCATCTTTTTAATATATTTTGTATTTTAATAGCAACTTTGAAAATTTAAAGAGATAGTATCAAATGCATGCAACCAGTATTAAAAAAACAACAATTTCTCTCTTTTTTGTGTGTTTTTTTTAAAGAATCAAATAAGGACAAAATACATTTATCTTCGGTATTTCTGAGTGTATTATTTTAGTTACATACCAGGCATAATACTAATGACACATGAGATGTTACTAATATGCTAAAAAAAAATGATTTTTGCTAAATTAATTTTGTTGCAGTTTAGTTATTTTACACAATGGGAGTATGCTGTATGTAGCAATTTTAAAATAATTAGGATACAATTAATGTTTTGTTAGTTTTCAGTATTTTATGGTTACATCTGAAGAAAGTTCAATTACTAGTAAAATCACCCAAAAAATATTCTGCTTTCTCTTTATATTAGGGTGCTATTTCCACACCATTCTTACACCTACTGCCTAAAACACCCCAAGTAACAATAAACTGCACTCATGAAAAACAAAAGAACATTGGGCATGGGGGATGGGGGAACTTGTAAGGACCTTCCATTCCATTTGGGTGACAATAGCTTGTCTAGTAGCCCTTCAAAGGTCACCACAAATTTGACCCCATTAATCAATTTAATTTGAGTTCTAAATGCAGGTCAACTAAATATAAATACAGTTCTGTAAATTTATTGGCATATTTGCCATTTTGGTGAGAAACATTGGAGTTAATGGGGAAGAAAAACGTAGATGGGTTTGAGCTGGCTAGGATTATTATAAATGCTTTGAAGGGCTCAGAATTACTTTTTTTGCTGCTAAAACTGTCCTGCCCTGTCATGGCATGGACACCATTTGACCTCTGATGGTATGTTGTGGTATCTAGCACCAAGCTGTCAGTAGCACATCCCACAGATGCTCGATGGATTGAGATCTGGAGAATTTGGAGGCTACAACAACACCTCAGACTAGTTATGTTCCTCAGAACAATCTAGAACCATTTTTGCAGAGCACATTATCCTGCTGAAAGAGGCCGCTGCTATCCGCTTTCCATGAAGAGGTGGACTTGGTCACCAACAATGTTTAGGTAGGTGGTACGGTATGTGTCACAGTAACATCCACATGAAGGCAGGAGCCAAGGTTTCCCAGCAGAACATTGCCCAAAGCATCACACTGCCTCTGCCAGGCTTGTGTTCTTCCCATACTGCATCCTGGTGCCATCTCTTCCCCAGGTAAGTGACACATGCACATCCAGCCATCCACATGATGTAAAAGAATATGTGCTTCATCAGACCAACCACCTTCTTCCATTGCTCCATGGTCCAGTTCTGATGCTCATGTGCCCCTTGTTAGTGCATTTGGCTGTGGACACGGGTCGGCATGGGCATCTTGAGTGGTCTGCGGCTACACAACCCCATACACAAAAAAACTGCTTTGCCCATTTTTTCTTCTTTCAACATTTCAACTTCGGGGACAACATGTTCACTTGCTGCTTAATATATTTCACTGAATTTCAGATGCCATTGCAATGTGATAATCAGTGTGATTCACCTGTCAGTGATCTTAAAGCGGAGCTCCACTCAAAAGGGGATGTTCCGTTTTAAGCCTTTGTCCCCCACTCCCCATTAAGGATTGGCACCTTTGGTGCCGAATTTGACAGGTACCCGTTCCCACTTCCGCTGCGATCACCTTAGTTATTATATATATACTGTATATATATAACTGAAAATGAATAAGTAACTCTTCCTTTTAATCTGTACTATATTGTTTCTGTAGCCCTGATGAAGGAGGAATGATTGGCTTAAAATGTGTTGTTGGCTTTATGTGATCACGCTATGAACCAATAAAGGGATTGGTTTGGTTTGGTTTGGTTTGACACTTCTGTTGTGTTTTTATACTGCAGGCTAAAGTTGTCCATAGACAGTTCAAATCTTTTCTGGTTCAGCAGGGCCCGGCTGTGATTCAAACCATCTGTGGGCAGGCTGATTGTACCCAAATTTTTCCATTGATCAATAGCTGCTAGCAATAATCACTGTACTCTTGGCTGGGACAGTTCCCTACACCCCCCTCCTTAGAGAACACAAATAGCTTCATAGTAGGGATTCCACCATTTATCTACATAAGTACAGTGGTGTATGTGGCCCCTCTATAGTGGTAAAGGGATGTATAGGACCGCTCTATAGTTATGTATATGGCCCCTGTAGTGCTCACCAGCTCAGTGACTACTCTGTGCAGTGACAACCCACCAACTGACCTCCATACAAGCTGAGTGACAGGCCCTGCCCCTCCTCTCTTCATACATACTGCGTGACGGTGTCAGGCCCTGCCCCCACTTCTCCCTGTACAAGATGAGTGACAGTTGCTGACCCTGCCCTCATGCTTGTATTGACTGAATCCCCCCCACCTGGATGTGTTATTTTTTAAATATAAATCCATTGGAGAACCTGGGACAAAGAAGAGGACAATCCAGGCAGAGATCAGAAGGATCAGTGTGGAGGCTTTGCATGTGCCCAGCTGGCTGCCACTCATTCCCCAAAGGATTATGATCATATAATAAAAGGACTTCTACCCCACCCTGCTCTGCTTATTGCTTCCCCCGCTTCCCCCACACTGTTCTGTACATCGCTCTGCACCATGGAGATGGAGAAGATGCTGAATGACTTCAGTCCCAGCTGGACCCTCCACATTACTACCCTGTGGACTAAGCCTGCTGAGCCTGATGTAAAGTACTGTCCTTGGTCACTAGCCTGGCCTTAATGTGCACGGGGTGATTAGGGTGTGCCCAGACACATCCAGCACACGCCGTGCGCATGCCTATGATATCTATCTATCACTCTGGCACTAGTTGAATGAGGGATCCAAGAATATTACTTATACAGTAGCATTTGGGTGTCTGAACATCAGTGATGAAAACTTACCAATTTTAACCCCTTGACACTGACCGTACGCAAATGTGTGTCCTCTCGGTGGCTGGGCCTTGGCGCCGAGTGGCCTCATATTTGTGTACAATTTGAAAACACATATGTGCTGAGAGCACACGACCCTGCGCACTCCCAGCACATATGTCAGAGTCTCACGGAAAGGTCCCGATCTCCCCTTGCAATCGGGACCTTTTCCGATCATGTGACTGTCCCTAAAACCCCGCCCACCTCCTGGCTTCTGAAACCCCTTAAAGGGCCGGGAGGCACCGGCGTGAAGAGGTTAAAGTGGCCACTTTATAAAAGATAAACATTGATGTATCCAAAAAAATAATTATTAGAGCCTGATGGAAGAATTGGTTTATAAAGGTAATATGTTATACTCACCGTGTAAAGCAATGCGCTGCGGTCAGAACCCACTCTGGTGAGATTAGAGAGCCCCCACATCTATGTGATCCTGAATGTTGTAGACTGATCTGCCAGGGCCATGCCGTAGCCGACGCATCTGTACCTCCAACTATCCGACTGAATACCCTGGGGGAACCGCATCCTGCAGCACCCAAAGCATTGTGGGCTGAAAAGAAACAAATTTGAATTCATACTCCAGATTTTTTTTTTTTACATTTTCTAACCAGGCAAAGTTTCAAATTAAAAAAGATCTCAGACTGCAATACATACGTCCAGTCTGGTGTTGGGACGCACAGTAATTCTTCTCCATCACAAGATGTTTTCAGTCTTGCAGGTTAATTGATACACATCGTGTCAGTTGGCAATGGACAACACTGAACAGCTAAACCAATTCTGCTGAAATGATTCTACTCACCTCTACTACACAGTGACTGTTCTTTACTGTGCGTAACTCCCAGTGTTAGTGTTGCTTCTCCTGGAATCTTAGCGTTTGATCACCAGAATTTTATCATGTAATTTCTAACATATACTGTATACAACCAAAGCAAACATTCTTTCATGTAATGGTGTCCTAATCCCAACTCTCTTCATGAAGTTTGAATATTGAGCTTACAATTCTACAGTTTTTCTCCTGGTGCTCCCTTATTCCAGAGCAGACTCCCCAACAAATACTACCAGTCCATCCAGATAGCCAGAGTTCCCTGAGACACTCCAATGTCCAAAGACAGTCACATTCTTGTATTAGAGAAAATTATATTGAAAACTCCGAATGGCATTCGTAGCTGAGGTGCCCTAAAGTGAGTCATCCCAAAGGATTTCAGGAATTTGAGGTTCCTTCATTTAATTATTTAATAGTAAGGTCTCAAATCTCTGAATAAACTCTTTTTTGGATGCCTTGTCTATGAATAGCATTGGGGTTTTTGGTGAGAGACACAGGCTTGATGCTGCATTAGCATCAAGAATGACCAGAAATCAGGAAAAGGCTGGCAAGGAGACAAACCTTTGGTATTCAAGAAATTCACATGGTTGGGGATTATTTGCTTGGTTTCTTGAAACCTCAAGAAATGGAATCAGAACATTCTATTTTTTTCCACTTTACAATTACAGGAAGCTCTCTGGTCAATTACTACTCTGTAAGAGCTCTCCTGAGCATATATATAAATACATATCTATCTATCTATCTATATCTATATATATCTATATTATCTATCTATCTATCTATCTATCTATCATCTATTATCTATCTCTATCTATCTATATTATCTATCTATCTATCTATCTATCTATATCTATCTATCTATCTATCTATCTATCTATCTATCTATCTACACTGTCTGTCTATCTGTCTGTCTGTCTGTCTGTCTATCTATCTATTATCTATCTATATATGTATTTATTTATTTTACAGGTACTTATATACTGTAGTGCTGTCAATTTACTCAGCGCTTTGCAAATATATTTTACATTCATAGCAGTCCCTGCCCTCAAGGGGCTTACAATCTAAGTTCCCTAGTCCACATTCATACAGTATCTCACAGAAGTGAGTACACCCTTCACATTTTTGTAAAGATATTATTATATCCCAGCATGTCTCCAGACCTAAACCCTATTGAGCATCTGTAGGGCATCTTCAAACGGAAGGTGGAGGAGCGCAAGGTCTCTAACATCCCCTAGCTCCGTGATGACGTCATGGAGGAGGACTCCAGTGGCAACCTGTGAAGCTCTGGTGAACTCCATGCCCAAGAGGGTTAAGGCAGTGCTGGAAAATAATGGCGGCCAGGGGAGGACTGACAACTCATGGGGCCCCCGAGCAATAGGGGATCATGGGGCCCCTGTGTCCTTGCCCAAACTCAAAAAAGCCTATGAAAAAGGTACCAGGGGCATCTCATGGGGCCCCCTACTGAGCCCAGGCCCTCGGGCAGTGCCCGAGTTTCCAAATGGTCAGTCTGCCCCTGATGGCGGCCACACAAAATATTGACACTTTGGGTGTCTGCCCAACTGCGTCACATTGTAGCAAAGTGTCATTTCTTCAGTGTTGTCACATGGAAAGATAGAATCGAATATTTACAAAAATGTGAGGGGGGAGGGGACTCACTTCTGGTAGATACTGTACATACACATACTAGGCCCAATTTTGACAGGAGCCAATTAACCTACCAGCATGATTTTTGGAGTGTGGGAGGAAACCCCCACGGGAACAGGGAGAACATGAAAACTCCAGGCAGGTGGTGCCGTAGATGAGATTCAAACCAACAATCCTGGTGCTGCCAGGTGGAAGTGCTAACCATTTAGCCATTGTACTGCCCTATATACTGTATATTCCAAAAGAGAGAGCGGTACTCAGATCTTAAGAGGCCATGTATTCATATTTATTACAGATACGGTTATTATAAAACCCACTTTAATCTAAGGGGTTCCCAGATTATTATTACAGGGGACATTGAGGTTGCCAAGCTGTTGTTATATTTACATTTTCAAATTGACAAGTAATTCACCAACAAAGTATAGGAAAGTACATAGCATTATATACAAGAAACATGCACAGCTTCTGGTCACTGTTCAACAAATTTTTATTTTTTGCCAGTTTTGGAAACAAAAGGATCCATTTCTTAATGAATTTCACATTCTGAGTTCAAATATAACAATGAAATTTGTCAATTGGCTCTAGTTTTTCTGTAAGCGGAAAGTTTTCTACTATAGGCGTAATGACTACATAATGCACAATAATTATATAGATAGATGTCTTTCCACAAATATAAAGCAAGTGATATTGACTACATAACAAAGCCTAAATGGCATAATATATTGCATAGGATTACCAAGAAAAATTATAGCCATAAGCTAAGTTGAATCATTTTAATACTTAGGATTCTCACTAGTTTTGTCTTCAGTTTGTGTCGGTTTTGCTTCTCTTGGCTTTTCTCTTGTATTCGAGGAAAGGGCTATCTCTTACAACTGCACGTGACTACACGCTTCAGGTTCTTCCTCACTTGACTCAACCACGAAGGATTCTGGTGCTTTAGGAATTGGTAGCCCCTCTCCATGAGGAACTGGACGTATTGCCGATGGAATATTTGGATAGTGCACAGATAACTTTTTCTTCTTATTTAGCCCTTTTACAATTGGAGGCACCATACAAAAGTAACAATTACTAACATGATCTGTTGGCTCTCTCCAAATCATTGGCACAGCGAAAGACATAGATGCCTTTTTTCCATTCAACCATTGCTCCAGTGCCGTCCCACAAGAATTGCAGCATATATGTGGTGCCCAGCTCTTGTCCTGGTCTCCTATCTTGCAGCCAAAATACAAGTTGTAGGCTTTCTTAATCATTCCTGTTATCCTCCTTTTTTGTGAGATAAAAGTTATTTCACCGCAGATATAGCAGAAATTATCTGCTTTATTCACACAAGTTCGAGGCATTACTGAGTAGCCTATATAAGCAGAAAACGAAATGTAAAGACGCTGTGGAACTCCAATCAGCTACAGATACTGCAGCTTTTATGCAGTGAAGTGATGCAATTAAAGGCTAATATTGCATTATCTCAGTATACATGCAATTTTCTATTTTCTTGGTCACCAGTATCAATTGCAGCTGAAGTTGCATCATAATTTTGAATGGCTTACGTCATTAGATGGGTGAATATATCATGGAAACTAGAGCCAATCAACATTTTTTAGGGTCATTTTCATTTTCAGCACCCCAAAATTATGTAAGATTAGCTAATTTTATGCCCAAAACTTTTTACCTGTTGAACAGTGTAACTAAGTAACCTTTGTTGTATACATAGTAGCACATAATAATCAATTCACAGTCACAGTGAGCAAAAAAAAACATAGTAACTTAATATCACCATAGTACAAAGTATCAAGCTCATATTCAAAAGAAGATGATCAATCATTGAGCTCTGATTTCTGCAATGGCTCAAACATAAATCATTCTTCTTAATATACTGTAGAGACAGAAGAGATCTCCGTCTAACAAAATTCATTTTATAAAACTAAATATAAACCTTAATTCTTGGTGAGGTCAGATGGATACATGGAAGACGATTTATGGGTTCATCTGACATCCCTCATCCTTCACCTTTCCTCCACACCTTAGGCATTTCCTCAATGATCCTAAGTTGTAGATAATTATTTTTATGAACCTTCTCCATCTGACGTGATAAGGAATAGGCAAATTCATTTGTTTCTAGCTTATTCACATTCTTGGAGAAGAAAGAGAAGTGCGCCAGACTAAGTGCAGTAGAAATATAAAAGTTTATTGCACACAAGATTATAAAAGCTCACAAGAAGTGGGTAGATATCAGGCATCAATATATAAGGAGGAGGATGTCATCTGTGCTGCACCTCACAAATGGATGGCTGCAATGCCAAGGTGTTGCACGGCTGGCGCTGTAGGCGGGTCCCACAGGAGGAAGCGAGGATGGCAGGCGCAGTAACGGGAGTCGCGGCGCAGATAAGAACCGGAATCCAGGGCAGGCACTGCTGATCTCTCACATCAACGTGGGTACAGGAACCAGCTTGAGGCACATCCAAGATGGCCGCCGGGCAGGAAATGACATCAGGACATTGCTGAGAATCCTCCAAGGGGGCGGTGACGCGTTTCTAGGCAACCTGCCTTTTCATCAGACCTGATTGGCTAGTGGGATGAGCCAATAAATAAGGAGAGGAGGAAGGGGTGGGGCAACTGAGGGGCGGGGTAGTGAATTAGAAAAAATGTATAATGCATACAGGCTTAACAAGCAGTGGTGGAAAACATAAGAAATAAACGGTGAGCAGCTGCTTTCTGTAGAACATGTGAAAAATAAATGGAAAGGAAAGGAAAGAGATGGACTAAAAAAAAAAAAAAAAATTGTTGGGCAAAATAAATAAATACTTGGGCAAATTAATATGTATGAATAAAAGTATATATAATATACATAAATACATAAACAGTAAAAGGAAAAGGAAATAATTGTAAATATATAATAAAAAATAAGAAATGTAAATAAAAAATAAATAATAAAATATAAAATTAAAATGAGATAAAAATAAGAGGAATGAATATAAAGAAAAAATATATATATATGAATGTGTATATATACATACATCTATATCAGAGCATAAGAAAAAAAAAACAAAACACGCATGTAGAAGATAGAAGATTATACAGGGAATATTTAATTATAAACGTTATTACTATGATGTGGATTATAAAGGGTAAGGTGGGTGGGTAAGAAGGTAGAATATGAAGGGAGGGGGGGGAGGGAAAAAGGGGGGGGGGCAATGAGGGAAAAAAAAAAAACGCATGTAGAAAATAGAAGATTATACAGGGAATATTTAATTATAAATGTTATTACTATGTTGTGGATTTATAAAGTGTAAGATGGGGGGTAAGAAGGTAGAATATGAAGGAAGGGGAGGGGAAAGGGAAAAAAAAAAAAAAGGGGGAGAGTGGGAATTGAAGTATATACTATAAAAAATAAATAATAAAGATATGAAGAATAAATTCTTAAAAAAAAAATTTTTTTTATTCACATCCTTACAGCCTGTATCTTAGAATAACAGGAATGTGAAGCCTCCATCAATCAAGATGTAATATCCCACCTCATTTTGTTTAGCTAGTTGGTGAGCATGGAGGAGGAGGGAGTGGGCTCTCATTTATCACTGTGTAGACTGTGTATATGCCCACATATGTGACTCTGTAGCCACATGGGCTGCTCAGATGAGATATGTAGGAAATACTTAGAAAGAAACTCGCTAAAAACTGAGCATGTGCAGAGCTGCCAACACTTATTTGGTAAATCATCAACTGCACTGGGGACATGAACAGAAGGGGAAGAAAGAGAGCAGCAGGATCACCCAGGTTTTTTGCAGAATACAGAAAACAATTCCCATAGTGACTAAATGGGTATGAACAGCATATAATACAACATGTATTCATATTTTTTTTATGATTATTGGCACTTTAAGTGAATATACTGTATATATTAGTTACAGAATTAATAAGACTGACAAAAAAGGATGTCTAATATGTTTAACATACAATAAGCCAATCCCATCTTTCTGCCTGGCATCTATGGCTAAGTATGCCACACAGGAGAAAAAAATATATATTTCTAACCCCCCCCCCCCCCCCCCCCAAGGGAAGTCCATTCATTTTCCTCAACCAACTTATCTCTCTCCTTTGTTTTATTAATTATAATTACTATATAATGACACTATTAGTTGAGTTGTCTTTGGAACTTTATTAGAGCTTTTCTTTCATTCCAAGTAAGATTTCATATTCCTTCCATTGAGTTACCCATCACAATCTTTTTCCGAGACAAAGTCCTTTCTACACTGATACCCAAAACCAGACTTTCTGGGACAGAATGCAAAAATTGAATCTCTTCTCAGAAAGACTTTGTCCGAGAGGTCCTGGAAAATGAATCAAACTCTTTCTCCAAGATGTTAAAGCTTTACTAACTTATATTTACATTCCTTGACGGTATTGCAATTAGGAATTAGCAAAGTCAACAGTTTGTTTGTTTCCCCCAGAATTCCATTGTAACTAATATTTTAATAAACAAAACTATCTTAAATACAACACCCCCCCCCCAATCACCACCAAAAAAAGCACTCTCTAAGTAAATAAATTAAAAGAATCGATTGACTTATTTTCTAGCAAACGTTTGCCTAAGCAGCTCAATGAGCAAAATTCTCACTTCGGTGAAATTTTGCTTCAAGCAGAATTAGTAATTTTGCAGCAAAATAATTTTATTTGGAAGCACTCCATTCATCCATAGTTGTAATGATCTCAGGAAGTTTCAGGTCAGCATAGAAAGCTTAGGCAGAGAGTTCTCTGATATGATGGTGGGCATCTCCAGTGGCATCGCTATGGGGTGTGGGGTGTGTGGACCGCACCTGGGTGACACCCGCCAGAGGGATGACACATCTCTGGTGTCTGCTCTGGCCCAGAGAAGGCCAGGATCCATGGCTGGGATGAGCCACCATGTTTCCTTAGTGCAACCCCCATTCATCCCTAGAGGGGGAGCCAGAAAAATGGTGGCGCCCATGAATTGGGGACAGGAGATAGAGAGTTGGGGTCAGAGTGTGTATGGAGAGGATTTGATGAAGATTTATGCTACTGGTGTGCTGGAGATCGGTGAGAAGATGAGAGAGAGAGACAGAGAGAGACAGCAGGTCAGTGTATGTGCTGTGTACTTCCTCCTCTACTAACAGGGGGAGACATCCATCCCCTGCTCCACTCTGATGTCACTTGGACATGGGGAACTCCAAACCTCCTCTACTGCACCCCTACATGCTGACATGGTACATTCCATCCATCACCTCCCTACATAGTGACATGGTACAATCCATTCATAGCCCTCTACATACTGACATGGTACATTCCATCCATCACCCCCCCCCCTACATACTAACATTGTACAATCCATACATTATTCCCCTACATACCAACAGTTGGAGACATCCATTCCCTGCTCCACTCTGACGTCACTCAGACATGGGGGACTCCAAACCTCTTCTACTCCCTACATAGTGACATGGCACAATCCATTCATAGCCCTCTAAATACTGGAATTGTACATTCCATCAACCCCCCCCCCCCCACATACTGACATGATACATTCCATCAACCCCCCCCCCCACATACTGACATGGTATATTTCATCAACCCACCCAACATATTGAAATGGTCCATCCATCAAACCCCACTCAAATACTAACATGGTACATTCCATTTATCAACCTTCCTTCCACACCACATTCTAACATGATACATTCCATGCCGAGCTGGGGGGTGACACCATGTTTTACGGCACCAGGTAACACCAACCCCTAGTGACACCGCTGGGCAGCTCATTGAAGCCCCAGTTTTCTTTGTTCAAATGTTTGTTTGGTTGTCCTCCCCCTGAGACCTTTGTTGCAGAATTTTCAGTGGGCTACCTACCTGTGGCGATTAGGATGAGTAGAGTGAGTGCTCCCATTCCGGCACAGTGGGTGATATTCAGCAGATTTCTCTCCTACTAATCTGTGGAGAACACAACTTTCTGTTCATAAATGTAAACCTTTACAGCTTCTTCATTTTTTTTTTCTCATAAAGTTTTTATATGTTTTTCCAAAAGCAGAACTCATCATATACAAATCAGTCTCTCTGTTTCTCTCTTTCTTTTTTTATTAGAAAACATATTATTCTGCACCAGTCAGGAGTGGATAGACAAGACAAGGTAGGGTTATTGGAGACAACAAAGGTGTAAAGTACAATTTGGAAGAAGGGACGCTAGCAGACGTTCTCTATATGGTTGTTTAGGTTGCTCATACTTTTTTCAGTTTATTAAAGTTTTTACAAGAGCAGACAAAAGGTGCCATATACAAGTCATTTTATCTCTCTTTATGTTTATATAACCTATAGTTTCTACAACAGTTTTGAAAGGATAGACAAGGCAAGGCTCGTAGGGTTAAAGGAGGGAGGAGAGAAAGGTACAAAGTAAAATTTTGAAAAAGAGGTCGCTAGCAGCCATTCTCCTTGTGTTTTCTTCAGAGTTAAGCAGATGACACCTGTATAAAATGGGCAAACGGTCCCTTGTTATGGTGTATCTGTCTTTTCTAGGAATCATCATGGAGTCAAGTGTGGTTCAGTCATTCGAGTGGTCATTTAAAGTGGAGTCAGCCAGCCCAGATTTTATAATATTTTCTTATACACTCACAGGTTTCTTTATTAGGTCCATCTGTTCAATTGTTTGGTAACAAAAGTTGCTAATCAGCCAATCGCCTGACAGCAACTCAATGCATTTAGGCATCTAGTCGTGGTGAAGACGACTTGCTGAAGTTCAAATCGAGCATCAGAATGGGGAAGAAAAAGGATTTAAGTGACTTTGAATGTGGCATGGTTGTTGGTGCCAGACGGGCTGGTCTGAGTATTTCAAAAACTGGCGATCTCCTGGGATTTTCACACACAACCATCTCTAGGGCTTACAGAGAATGGTCCGAAACACGTCAAACCTTGAAGCAGATGGGCTACAGCAGAAGACCACACCGGGTGCCCCTCCTGTCAGCTAACAACAGGAAATGAAGATTACAATTCACACAGGCTCACCAAAATTGGACAATAGAAGATTGGAAAAATGTTGCCTGGTCTGATGAGTCTTGATTCCCCTAGAGATGGTTGTGCGTGAAAATCCCTGGAGATCATCAGTTTTTTAAAAACTCAGAGCAGACTGTCAGCATGCACTGACCCCGCCCTGTCATGTGACGTGGCCTACCACTTGGTGGCTGAGTGGCTGTTGTTCCCAGTTGCTTCCACTTTGTTATAATCCCACTAACAGGTGAGTGTGGAATATTTAGTAGCCAGGAAATGTCACGGATGGACTTATTGCACAGGTGACCACCTATCACGGGACCACGCTTGGAGTCACTGAGCTCCTGAGAGCGACCCATTCTTTCACCAATGTTTGTAGAAGCAGTCCGCATGCCTAGGGGCTTGATTGTATACACCTGTGTCCAGGAGGGGATTGGAACACCTGAATCATATGATTGGGAGGGCGGGGTCAATACGTTTGGCAATATAGTTTATATTTTGTACAATCACTTCAGTCCCTGCCCTCAAAGAGCTTACAATCTAAGACTCCTAACTCACATTCATACATACACATACTAGGGCCAGCCTAGATAAGAACCAATTAACCTACCAGCATGTCTTTGGATTATGAGAAGAAACCCATTCAGGCACAGAGAGGACATGCAAACTCTGTGCCAGTAGTGCTGCAGTTCAAACCAACAACTCTAGGGCTGCTAGGGGGGAGTACTAACCACTTAGCTGCTGTATTTTTGGATATCCAGACCAAAGGATCGTATAATTAGGCAGTCTGAACCCAGGTCAGTTTAAGTGCTTATTGAGTGACATTACCACGATGGAGAGGAATCACAGGATTTGCATATGAGGTGGAGAAATGTGATAACAGCACAACTTCGGCTCCATGCACACTAGCATTTCTAAAGCTCCTAGAAGCTGTTATCAGTATATTTTTTCTGCTCCTAGAAGCTAAATAATGTTATCCTTTGTATCCATGCACACTATTTTTAGGCTAGTAGTGTTTTTCAAGCTTCAGTGTTTAGGAGCAGAAAAAAAAACATTTTTGTCGAGTTTTTGAGAGTGTTTTTTCCATCAGAAAATAAATGCTCCTAAATGCTTCTAAAACACTCCTAATGGCTTTTTAATAGCTTTTTCCCCCTTCATGAACTGTAAAAAAGCTAACAAAACCTTAATGCTCCTAAACGTTACCAAAATGCTACTAAAAAGCACTATTACCAGCATTTTTTTTAGCATAAAAAAATGCTAGTGTGCATGGAGCCTAAATGTGATTTATCTTTTACTATGGAGTTCGAAGATGAGGTGTATAACAGTAATAAGAAATGCTGTTGCCTTATGCTGGTCAGAGGAGGATCCAAGGAGCTCTTTTTCCCATCTTTCCCCCCAAAAAAAACAGTTGAGTCTAGGCTTAAGAGGACTTTATAAAGCACAGATACGTAATGTAGAGAACTTGAGGATGTATGCAGTAATGACTAATAATGAGATTTAATGAGACTTAGTTTTTGAAACTAACATAGGTCTGAAGAGAACAAAGCCTGTCCACGGTGTGCACTTGTGATGCCTGACACATGTTTTTACAGTGGTGGCAGCAGTTATATCTTTCAGAAATTCAACAGTAACACAAGCTGACTGACTGACACCTGATATGTGACACCCCTACATGATGAAACTTAATGGTGATCATGGTGCAGATTCTCATTCAATGGTGACCATGCTGCAGATTCTCATTCAATGGTGACCATGCTGCAGATTCTCATTCAATGGTGACCATGCTGCAGATTCTCATTCAATGGTGACCATGCTGCAGATTCTCATTCAATGGTGGCCATGCACAGATTCTCATTCAATGGTGGCCATGTTGCAGATTCTCATTCAATGGTGACCATGCTGCAGATTGTCATTCAATGGTGACCATGCTGCAGATTCTCATTCAATGGTGGCCATGCACATTTTCTCATTCAATGGTGGCCCTGCACAGATTCTCATTCAATTGTGGCCATGCTACAGATTCACATTCACTGGTGGCCATGCACAGATTCTCATTCACTGGCGGCCATGCACAGATTCTCATTCAATGGTGGGCATGCACAGATTCTCATTCAATGGTGGCCATGTGCAGATTCTCATTCAATGGTGGCCATGCACAGATTCTCATTCAATGGTGGCCATGCACAGATTCTCATTCAATGGTGGCCATGCACAGATTCTCATTCAGTGGTGGCTGTTCAGTAAAAGTGATTACTGCTTCTCATAGTGGTTCCCAGGCTCTCCTGTTCCTCCAGGAAGGACTGTGATAAACAACAAGAAAATGTAGATGTAGAGGAGAGTGAGGAACATCCATTGTCTGATCTCCTCTGTGACTATCGATCCAGGAATCAATGATGATTTTGCCACTTCTAGTTTCAAAGCTGCCAATCCTCAGCTACTGGGCTGAAACAGGTCCAATTTATTTCAAATAGTACCAAGTTCTGTTTGGAGCAAAATGATTTCATATTTGATAAAACAATATTATCCACAAATCAGGCACGGCTATGGGTGCGAGTTTCACACCCGGCTATGTCAAGCTAACAATGGGATACAGGGAATACAACTATATATTGAATAATAAGAAAACATATTTTTCCTATGGGACTTTTATTTCAATAAGTCTTTATTGGAATTTTAACAAATACAAAGACAATGCATTGAAAGAGTGTTAGCCAAGAGGCCGTTGGTCCGTCTTGGGCGGTCAGTACAGATTGTATAACAGTAGTGTCCTAGATATAGGTACATATATATGCAGTTAAGTAAATGATAATCAGAAATTACTAAGTTGCCCCGGAATGTATTCTAGACTGAGGGAGGGGCGAAAAGGGAGGAGGGGGAGGGAAGGGATATTAAATTGGTAGGGATCTGGAGGGACAGGAGAAAGGGGGAGGAGGAGAAGGGAAGGTGGCGAAAGACAAAAAAAGAGAGCAAGGTGGTAAATAAATCACCAGCTTAATAGTCATCTGTATAACTAACAGAAAAATGAAGTATAATTCACAATTGTATGTGCAATTTGGATGGGTGAGCCAAGAAGACCAGTTGAGAGAGAATTGTTTTATTTGCATATTTTTTCTGGCCACTATCTTTTCCATCTCACATTGAAAATTAAGGTCATGAACAGAGAGGGAGTGTTTGTGGTTTTCCATAGCCTATTTATATTCAGTTTAGCAGCAAGAAAGAGGTATATTGCTTGACCTAGTGTTGGAAGGGAGCTTCTCTATGCCAATGTGAAGTAGCTCTAACGCTGGATTGGGAACAATAGTTAGCCCTGTGACTGAGGAAAGCACAGTAAATACCTGCTTCCAAAAGGAACTAAGGGGTTTACAGTACCAGAGAGTATGGGCTAAGGTATCAGTACTACCACATTGTCTCGAACACTTGGGGGAGCTGCCAGGATACATCTTTGAAAGTCGGTAGGGGGTTAGGTACCACCTATGAAGGGTTTTTTTTGGTAGTCTTCCCAGTGATTAGAGCAGCGTGAAGCTCTGTGAGTTGCTCTAAAGCCGCGTTGCCACATATCAGGAGTGCAAGACTTGTTTAGTTTCTTTCATCCATTTTGATAAGGAAGTAATTTGTGTGTATGGTAAATGGTTGCTTAGAAATTTATAGAGTGAGGCAATACCTCTCTTAAAATATGATGGGTGTGTGCACATAAATAAGGTCAATGACCCTTCTAGTGGCATCTGTCCTCAACATCAAATCTTGAGGGGCTTGTCAAATGACTAAAATTCAACATATATGGGAACCGCAAAGGAAACTTGTTACTACAGAATCATGAAGGCTACCAATGCTGATCTCTAGGTCTGAAAATGCCATTTAACTGTCTGTCATGTTGAATCTCCCTAATACTTTTTGAGATGACAACATACATAACTCAGAAAATGCTAAAGCTTCCATGTTTCTCTCTTGACAAGTTTTCATTGGAGTTGATTTTAAAATATGGACAATAATAAGATTTGGTCCAAATTTTGGTGAACTCTGAAAGTTGATCCAATTTACAACTGATCAGCATTTTTAGTTGTTATCTCATCTATAACTGGACACAACACGATGGGTGAGGTGGATGCCGACAACAAAAATGTGAAGGTGTCAGGTTCTGGAATGCTTGCTAACACTAAAATTTAAGCATAAAAATATAATTTGCCATAGTTATGTATTTCTGTAGAAAAAAATAATTGGATGTGTTGATGTATTTTTACATAGAAGTAGCAAAAGTACAGACAGTAAATCTGTCAGCCTCCTATGTTCCTTTGCTCAGTGGCACTCAGACTGGTTGAAGGCCACTCACGTGAATGGCTTGTATTATAGTGTTTGGTGGTGGAACTACCTGCCGAATGTGAAGTGGATTATAATTTTTCCCATAGCCACAGCATGTGTACTACACTATCCAACTGGGATAAAAGGTTAAGGTGGGCAGTCGAGAGGCTGGTAAAGCTGTACCTCAACCATTTATTTTGACCACCTCCTTTCCCAAATGCAAGTGTAAAAAATACCTTAAAATGCTGGTATTCGGGTTGTAGAGTGATTTTGTGTAAGAGCATTATGGCTACATCCACAATGGTGTGCCGAAAGCTAAATTTTGCCACTCTGTGTTATGGCTGAATATAAACTAGCCTTGGCCAGTTTGTGTGTGACAGATACTCTGCAGAAACATCAATCCTGCATGCAAAATGTCTGTGCCCAAGGTTGTCTGGAGGCTCTATTCACATAAAATCGATCAAATGAACAGTTACATGCGGACAGCATCACTGAAGGCTATGGATTTATACAAACTACAAGTTTGGCACCAACAGCTATTTCTGGTTGCACCCGGCATAAGCAATTAGAGCCACTGGCAAGAGTCTATTGATTCTTGCAAGTGGCCACCCCTGGCTGTCTATACATGTAATCTAAAGGTGAAGTTTGGCAATAGCCCTCCATCAGATGACTTTGAGTAGCAGGAGAACAAAAGTAATTATACTCTGTGAACCATAAGATAAGTATGACTGAAATAGGTTTGGTCATACATCTCTATAAAAATGTTTAATTTAAATTATTATTATTATCAGTGGTTCTTAACCTGGGTGCGATCGAACCCCAGGGGTTCGGTGAGTCAGTCTCGGGGGTTCGGCGGAGGTGACCCACACCCGACTCATATGATTTGTGATGACATGCCCCGCTTGTCCATCATTGGCTGCAGGTGGTCACGCAACATCGCTTAGCCCAGTGGTCGGCAAGCCGCGGCTCTTGTGTGCCGGGCGCCCGCTCCCCTCCCTCCTCTCGGGCGGCAGGGACTCAAATGCAATGATTGGCCAGTCTCGCTGCCACTCACATCCTGATAGCCAGTGATTGGCTGTCAGGATGTGTGTAGGCG